TTTCAAATGGCCTTTTTGGCTCTTTGCGCGTAATTGCGTAGGGGCCATTTAGATGGGTCACATCTTCAGGGTATTTGAGCACGTGCGATGCCAAATGCATCTCACAGTTAATATCGACAGTGCAGGCTTGTGGCTTCTCACGAACCATGTTTCAGGAACTAGTACTCTTTATAAATTATCGCATAAATACCAACGTATGCGTTAGAGCACCAGAGTATGCTAGTGTAGCGCACAGCTGCTTGAAATTTGGTCTTAGATTTGTTTTGCATCATTTAGTATATTCTGACAAACGCGTAATTTTCTATTTAGCAGGAATTATCCATATTAAGCTTTTATTTATGGCAACCCTAGAAGAGGATTTTAGAGTTATTCAAAATATCAGGAGTTAAAGATAATTGGGGGCTATTTAATCCATCTGCCGTTTTCCGGACGATTATCTCATTCTCTCAGGGTGGATGAACAGTTTAACAGCTGAACGACACCAGCATTAAACAGGACCTTGGTATAAATCTTACAAAACTCACTTCATGTGGAACAAGTACGTAACTCTGCGACCTGTGGAAGTCAATGGACTAAGGCTTGAAGAGGTACGACATTACCTCTATCTGGAACGGAGAAACGACTCTTTGAAATGGACAGAGAATAGAGATGTTATGAAGCATTTTTGGAAAATTGAAAATGTCTCTATCCAGGAATTTCTCATTATGCTTGAAACGGGAAGTTTCCGATCGGTATGTGCTCCCAGTGCTAATTTATGAATGCGAAACAGAATTTAAACCAGAAAGCTATTCATAGCCTCCAGGTACGAGTAAAGGAGTTAAGACGGTGGTAGCAAAAAGGAGTGATCATCGCTCGACCAGATACACGGTGAACTATGTTCCAAGAGACAACAGACGACCCGTGTGAATACCTTCAAATGAATGAAACGATGAGCTGAGGAAGTCAATTTGATCAACATGGACACAAATCACAGGAAGCAGAAGTTAATGGCATGGTCTTCTACTCACCTTCATCCAACAGTGGATAGAAGGAGGCGGATTATTATACTTGCCGAATGTAATTTATGATGCCCTCAACAGATTTGCCTATTTAATGAACTTGAAACTTTAAAATACCGAGTGAGATAAATTCAGGTTAATCTTAAGCTCGACTGTCATACCGAATCAAGTCACCGCAATATGTAACCCTAATTATCATATAGCTAACGTTAGCTCAGAAATGCTTACAGACTGGAAAAAGGACGTTTACTCAAGTTATGCCATTTAGTGATGAAACCACATGCAGACATTTGGTTTAGTATATTTTCGAAAATTCTTCCATCGTGAATACAAACGTAAATTAAATTATTCCATAGGTGTTGTGTGTATTTGCTATGATGTCAGAACGAGATTTCGACTTGTCGATTCAGTCTTCCACAAGTCTAATAAGCGGACCTGTCCAAGACTGGCATTCATTAGTCGAAGTACAGCACTGCTGTTGTAATATTACGAGTAAACATCGAGATCAATTGTGGGAATGTACGTAGTTTTTGCTTTTTCTTTGTCTGCGAACTATATGGAAAAAGCAAACTGGCTTTTAACTTTCGGAATAAGTAGTAATAAATAATAGTTATCAAGAAAATGGACTGACGGGTAATCACAAGCAGTTGCGATGACAAAATCAGGAGGACTAACTCGCACTGGTAGAGTGAGAAGAAATGCAAACGAGGGAGATCAAAATTTGGAAACGATTGGCCTGCGATTCTTGCGAAAGTTTGGTCTAATCACCATACCGTACGAGCGCAACGGAAGGTCGGGATGTTCTATGAGGCTGTTTTCTATGGCAGCTTGTTGCCGGGCGCTTTTGATTGCGGTTTGCTGCTTGACGGCTGACAGTTCGTTTGACTTTGGGGTGTTGTGATTTTTGATGACCACTTTGCCTTTCATGAACGGGGTGCAGTAAAATGGTTCGAAGTACGGCGAGTCCACCGTGGCCGTCATGGCGGTCGCACAGCGCTTGTGACCTTCGTGGAGCCGGTCCTTCGGGGTTGATGCCAGATGACCAGAAAAATTGAGCGATTTGATTTCGCTGCTGAGGTTCGCCGCGTCGTGCTGCGGACTCCTCGGAGGTGGGCGTTCGTCATGTGGACTGACGGCGAACATTCTCGGTATGGTGAGGTATTTCGGCAGCCAGATGAGGTAGACGAGTAGCGCGAATTCAAATCCGCCGAACGAGCATGCGACGGACAGCGAGAAGAGGATCGACGAGTACCAATGGATGCGAAACAGCGACGGCGAGGGCACCACTGTCGAGCATTCGTCAACCGTTCGCCATTCGACAAACTCGGACAGCAACCAAGCAACACACTGCAACGACGTGATCAGGCCGAAAAGCGTGAAGCCGTGAAACGAGGACAGTCGACAATAGGCTATGTGAAGATAGACGATGGCTGCCGCCAGGGCCACCGAACTCAGTCCCGCCCACAGCGATGTGTAGTGCTTCACCAGCCCTGAGTGTAAAGTGCTGATGTACAGGAAAATGCATATCTCCAAGGTGCTGAAGATCATCACCATCAAGGCGAACAGCGAAATCACGCGCAGGCATAAAATCTTCATCGCAGCTGAAGATCTAATCCGCATTCAATTCACACCGCACACTCATCGACTCACTGAGCAAAGCGCTA